TTTGTTCGCTGGCGTTGCTGAGCTGCAAAAAAAGATTGCGACGTCTCAGAAAATGGTGAGAGCAGGGAACATTTAATTCTCTTCTTGTTTAGGGACGCGATAATCCAGCAAATGGATAATACAATTAATAACATTTACATGTGTGTGTAAAAGGTAGCAAGACCTACTTAGCAAAATAACCTAAACCTGTGTTCTTTATATGGTGGGCTACGAGATGCGCACAGTGGAAACTATTTTAATTCTACTCATATCCAGATACACAAAGCAGTAGTGGTGAGCAGATATTACCTGTCTAATCCTGCAGTTTCCAAAATCAGTTATTAGCCATTAATTGAAAGGTCTTGACTGCAAGCTTTGTGATATTGTTGCGGCTACAATGGTCTACATTCTATTGCACAAGGCCATTACAATTGCAAGCAGGTTAGTATTGGTATTATGCATAAATTGTTAGCCTATATACAGTGCAATTCAAAAAGGGGTTGGAAAAATAATTACCGTCAGCTACTTAGATTTTGTTGCATTAATGGTGTAGTAATACATTTTTGACCAGTATATAATAATAACACATGCAAAACTCGTCATGGAACCCATAATGGAAGGTCCATTTAGTTAGCAGTTCGAACAGACCATTGTGACGGTTTCATAGTTCTATTGGAAGAATAATAGAATGGGCTCTTAAGTGACTGAATGCACTCTGATCATCTGAAACCCTTCCATTGTCTACATTTGTACCAAAATGATGCATAGATAATGTTCATATTGAATGGAAGGGTCTCGGTGAATCAGTTTAATTTGTTTGCAAGCTTTAATGTAAAGGCTCCTTTTACAGAAGGTCGAAGGTGTTATAATTGAAGTAATGACCCTGGTGTTCACTTTAGAAGCCTCGTTTGGCAATACGTTCTGTCATGAAAACAACAAACTCACTGTCGTTTCAGTTTTCAGGAGCTCTGCATGACAGTGTTCAACTCCAAATATAAATTGGGAAGGCGGGGTGAGAATAAATTGTATATGGTGATAAGATGGGTCCTAATCAGATTGTAAAATGGGACATACTGTCTACAAAAGGCTATTCCAAGAATAAGGAGTACTCTATCCAAATAGGAGACATAATGCTCCATAGACAATTGAGAAACACAGTTTAGATATATCTGTAGTGAGCAAAAATTCTTAATTATTTTAGCATTTTAGTTTGATTTAAGAATAAAGCAATGTATTTCAGTTTATAGTGGGAAACATGGAAAAGGAATATAAGCTGTGTTTTAATGAGAAAACAAAAAGGACAATGTGCCTTACAGAATGGATATAAAACAGGGAGTTGGAGTTACAAGTTAGGAGATATATGCATGTGATTGGAAGAAATAGGGAGCAAGACTCATTATTGAAAAACTAACAATAGAAGGTAGTCAATCTAATGAAAGATTTAAAAAATGTTGATTATTTAAAGAAAAGTCAAAGCAAATGCCTCCAAGTCTTGCATTTTGGATTAATGGATATTGCATTTTGTTGTAGTATAAAGCCCAAGTAAGAAAGTACCTACAAGACTTTTTAAACCTTTAATAAACCGCTGACCGTGACAACTAGGTCTAAGCTGAAAACATATAACCCCGTAATTAGAGCATATTGAAAGTGGTTCTTTTTGAAAATCAATTTAGTGATGCAGCGAACCACCTTCATCAGCTTTTATATTCTTCTGTACAAGCTCCATTTATTTAGTAAGGCTTCATGTATAAGAGTAATGTAATTGTAAATGTCACGTCTCTGCAACAGAGAGAAAAATTGCATGATTATTATAATCATCATATATAAAATGAATGTTCTTCACACTATTAATGTTTCTTAAAAGGAAGATAAATTGTATGTGAATAACTATAGTATTGAAAGCAGAAAATGAGAGCACATATCATGTAGTCTTCATTATCATAGGGTCTGTAAAGTGGCTTTGCACCTATTATATCCACATATTACATAAGACCATTTAACTGTTTAGTTGTAAGTTTACAACAGGAGCTCCATAAATATAGACTAGCAGCTCAAATGTAACCAAAATTAGACATATATTCAAGCATTAACATCTACTACATGGCTATTCATTAAATAAAGAATAATTGGCAATTCAAGGTGAATTTAAAATATAAGTCCAAAATTGCTGAACTGGTAGAATCGCTGACTTTACAATTTGACTTTTGTGGTCTGAAATGTAAAATTTACCTTGAATTCCTAACATTTCTCACTTTATTGAATTACCCAGTAGTAGTATTATATGATCAATAAAGTCAGTGTTTTCTATTCATAAATGAAGCAGATATTTTATATGGTTTAATTTTTCCCTTGGTTTTCTTACAAAGATGTGTCTTAGCATGCAGAGATTTACGTTATAAACAACTAACAATAAATACAAAATGATATGGTTTAATGTTTGTATGTTTGTGTGTTTAAATACATGACTATATTATTGCATATATTTATTTTCTCCAAATAATACTGTAATGAATGAATGTCTAATACATGTCTACATTTTATAGAATATTGTTTATCAGATTTGCACAAGCTCTTTCTTTGTTAATT